CCCCACGAGTGGTGAGCGCGCCACTTGTCACTACACCACCTCCTGCTCCGAGGGGTGTGAGCCGGCAGGTCCTACTGAGAGTGGCCGTGTCGTGACACATGACCTAGTCCCTAGGCCCCACTGGCCCCTTACAGGTCTTGGTATTTTATGAAAAGCAAGACCACCCAGGGAGGGTCCAAGCCCACCGATTGCATCTATGTGAGATGCCACAAAACAGCAGCGCCTATCGCGTGGACCCGTTCCTCGCCAGTTGTCAAAGCGAGCAAATGATATGACTGCACTATCGTTCGTATTACTCGTTTTCTACCACTTTTTGTCGCATGCGCGCTTCAACAAGAAGGCAGAGACGGCTTTGACGGGATACTCATACTGCCTGACACGCCCAACCGTCCGCAGCGAACTAGGATGTATAGATTACCGAGTCATGGGCGCAGAAGCCGCGAGCAATCAGAACCCTTTGGTTTTCCTGTTAGGTCCCGGTGAATGTTGCTACACTTCCGACTATAGACACTTGCCCAACCTATACAAGAAAGGTTTCACTTCCCATAACTGCACAATTTATCGCGAATGCATACACTGCGTCCCAAAAGTATAGTTCCACCCATAAATCTCGCAATATCCCGCCCTACACGACGTTTTCGAAAAAGCCTTTAGATAAAAAATGTGGTAATTACCAGTGCCAATTTGCATGCCAACACCGAGAACTAACTTTCCAGAGCAACTTCAACTTTCTTTATTTTTTGAAAATTTCTCACTCTGACAATGTCCCAAAAGTATAGTTCCACTAAACAAATCGATTCATAAAACAACAAGTGTACAACAAAATGAATGAATTGTTAATTCTATAATCTATTGCAGCCCCATTCCTTTGAATAAGTTGGAAAATGCGGTTGTCTATGCTCGAATAGAGGTTTTAAATCAGTTTTCGGTCGACATGCTGCCATGCATCAATTATTGACTTCTTGAGCTCACGGACATTGTGGAATCGTGCATTGTTCGCATAGATCTTGCGTACCATGAAGCCCCACACATTCTCGATTGGGTTTAAGTCGGGGCTATTCGCTGGCCAGGGCAAAAGAGCGATTTGATGACGACTGAACCACGCTCGAGTGTTTCGGCTGACATGAATTGGTGCATTGTCTTGCATGAAAACAGGACTTTCCGAATCCTTCGCCAGGAAGGAAACAGACCTCGTCGTATGACGTT